TATATATAAAAAAGGTTAAAGTTCTGGTTAAGTTTCTTTTATTTTTATATGGATTATGTAAAATAGTTTTATTTTCAAATATAAAATAGAGTCTTGAAACTGCATAAAATACTTAAAATTAGTAATTGGGAATGTGTTGAATTTTTAAATGCATAAAATAATTTTTAATCAATAATTTTGAAACTGCCACATTAATATTATTCTAGTTATAACATTGATACTTGAAGAAAACTTACTTAAGCTAGTAACTATGCAAAATGACGCGTCAGGCATTTTAAGTTTCACTATCAACCAAATAAAAAATACATAGTACCACTACATTTGTAGTATCAAAATACTCAATGAGGTAATTATGGGAGAAATCCAATAAAGTTACTTTATATTTGTAAAGGTAATAAAACATGTAGTTGCTAAGAAATTTAGGTATCCATAGCAATCCAAAATTAAAAATGTCACCATTAAAACCGCAATCCTCAAATTAGTAAGCTGTGCAAAAATGGTTCTTAAATCTTTTTTACATGACGAGTTATTAGTTTTGTCCAGTAAAAGTGATTTCTGGCCCACTGTGCAATGTGCAAATAGCTTTAGTATAATTTATTGCTTTGATTTTTAAATTACCACACTAATTTTTTGGACCTTTAGTAATTTTTTTCTCCTTATAATATAATAATGTAATAAAAATATTATATATAATAATAATATAATAGAAAGCTGTAGTAGTTCTACAAGTGAAACTAATAGTAATTAATTTCAATTTGAAAGCATACACATTGTGTAGTTATTTTAGGTAAATAATTATAATATTAAATTATAAATAACATATATATAGCTCTAGGTATTTATCAATGCAAGTTTTGAATAAGTTCAAGCTTTCACTTTTGATGATAAAACTTTGTTAGTTCCACATTGATGAGACTTTATTAGTTAAAAATTAATGACGAATATTGCAATTTTTACTATTTCTCAACTGATTTTGAAGTTATGGCCCCTTAGGTTGGGCTGATATGAGGCAAAAATATTACATTACAGTTCTACAATATTTCTTAGTTGACTTTTTTACGTCTTTTTTCCAGTGTACTTAAGCCAAGTATTTTAATTCTTGTTTAATAACTTTGTTTTTGAATCTGGGGTATCCATTTAGTGGCATAACTTTCAACTTTTTTAAGTGCAATAATATCAATTAGGCACCAATGCTTGTATCGCAAATTCAAGATGGGGTCTTATAAATGTTACATTTAGTGCCTTAAACATTTTTTTGTTGATGTAATAAAATATTTTTTTTAGCATTCCAAGCATTGAATAAGCTTTTGTTGTACAATTGGTTATGTGACTTTTCCATTTGAGATTTGATGAGATTGTAATTCCAAGACTTGGTCATAGATCTAGCAATATATAACTTTATCTAAAACTATTTTTTTTTTTTTTTAATAATCCTTAAATTGCCTGGTGTTTAAACAAGCAATAATTAAAAATATGTAAGTTTTGACTGTTATTATTTTTGCAGTAGTAAATTTTTTTGGGCACGCACAAAAAATATTTTGTCTTTTAATTTTTCTTATGCTTTTTTTGTTAAAAATAGAAGAAAAAATTTCGGTTTTAAATGCATTAGTATATAAATAATTTTCAGTTTATTTAAGCTACTTTATTATTTCTTCAGGAAAACAAAATGAATTAAAAAGCAAATGTCCTTCGGTTACTAACTGAATGTCATTTTTAAAAAATAAATGCTGTTATGAAACTTAACTTTAAAAACTTGTTACAAAATTTTATAACAATGTAATATATAAAAAGTTTGCTTTTTCAAAAGATAGAACGATTTTAAAATACCCATTCAGTGTAAAGTTAACTTTTGTTTGTTGGCAATTAAAAGTGAACTGTTTTGATAACTGTTTTTAATAATAAATAAACAAAAGTAAAAAATTTTTTAATAGATTTCACGCAAATTAAATTTTGAATAAATGAACTTTTGAATGAATGAACTTTTGATCTTTAACTTGCTATTTTAGTTTATGTGAGGAAAGCCAAAAAACAAAACGTAAACTTTTTCAGAAAAATTTGATTCTTTTCTATATTCTTTTTGACTTTCAAAATAATAAAAATAACAATTACAATAACTTAATATTATTATGATATTATTAAAAAGATAATATTAAGATATTAATAAAAAGATAATATTAAGATTTTAATAAAAAAATAATATTAAGATATTAATAAAAAGATAATATTAAGATATTAATAAAAAGATAATATTAAGATATTAATAAAAAGATAATATTAAGATTTTAATAAAAAAAATAATATTAAGATATTAATAAAAAGATAATATTAAGATATTAATAAAAAGATAATATTAAGATATTAAAACTTATTAAGCTCTAGTTATTTTTAAACTTTAATGTTTAAATCCATAGTAAATGTAACTTATTTATGAAACCAAATTTTTATAAACTACTTAATGCATAAAAAATATATGTTTTTTTAAAAATATATGTTTTTTAATTAAAAAAATATAACATTTTAAAAATAATATTTACCGTAATTATCTCTTCTTCAATTACCTTTAATTTAAAAGACACCTTAAAATCACTTTAAAAATTATTAACCTATAGTAAAAGTTAAATAAACATAATTGATAATATTTAAATTAAATTTTTAAAATCAAAATAATATTAAATACGTTTATTAAATGCTTATGTTTTTTCCTTGAATAGTTATTTGAAAACAAGCTGTAAAACTATTTTGTTAATTTTACAAATATTATGCGAATTACTATATGTAAATGTATTATGCAATGTAAATATTGATTAAAAATTGTTTAAATTTATATATATAGCTCAGAATTAGGGTCAACATTCGGCAATGCGGACCCTAATTCTGAATATGTTTTATGGTAAGCCTATTGTATCTAATTTTTTTTGCCAACCTCTAACAGTTTAAGGTCAGCAATTTAATGCCCACCTCATTTTTTCTAATTCCAAGGGTTGTATATATATATATGTGAGTGTGTGTATATATATATATATATATATATATATATATATATATATATATATATATATATATATATATATATATATATATATATATATATATATATATATATATATATATATACATACATGCACACACATGAATTTAACGGTGGATGTAACCATGTTACTTTAGTTACGATTAAAAAAAAACTATTTTACTTAAAAATTTAACCACACTATTTGTAAATAATTATTAAAAATTGTTTAAAGTATTTTAATCATTTTTTAACTTATTTTAGTTAATTTAATTTTTGTTATTAATGTTTTAAATAATTAGTAATTAAATATTTAAATATATATATATATATATATATATATATATATATATATATATATATATATATATATATATATATATATATATATATATATATGTATGTATATATATATACATATATATATATATATATATATATATATATATATATATATATATATATATATATATATATATATATGTATATATATACATATATATATATATATATATATATATATATATATGTATATATATATATATATATATATATATATATATATATATATATATATATATATATATATGTATATATATACATATATATATATATATATGTATATATATACATATATATATATATATATATATATATATATATATATATATATATATATATATATATATATATATATATATATATATATATATATGTATATATATATACATATATATATATATATATATATATATATATATATATACATATATATATAATTCTAAGCTATATATATATATATATATATATATATATATATATATATAAAGGCCTTAGCGAGAACAGAGAAAATCTCCCCTAAAACAAACATGGTGAACCATGTAAGCTGCTCCTCTAAACAGCTTTTTATGAGATGATTTTTATGAGCTTCTGGATTTTGCGCAATCTATCTGTTTATCTTGGTTTTATACTTGTTACAAGCATTGCTTAAAACAAGTATAAAATCAGGTTTTGTATTATAAAAGTGTTTATATAATAATTACAATTTTTGTAGCAGAACATTTAAATGAGCGTTATACTTTTTTATTTAGTGGTAGAACACTCACTTTGTAAGCAAGAAATTCTGAGTTTGATCCCCACTGTGTTTCTTGTAGTACAAACCCTTCCTAGGAAATGTGTGCGGTTTTTGTCTTGTATAACCACACGAGTATTTTATTTTAGACAACTTGGTCATTTGCAAGTTTTATTATATTAAGTGTTGCAGTATAAAGTTTCAAAAGCAAAGAAAGAAAATTTTGCAAAAAGAATAAAAACAAAAAAAAAGTTTCAAAAACAAACAAAGAAAAATTTCAAAAACTAACTAATTAAGAAATTAAAATAAACTTAAATAGTGATATTCCTATATAAAATATTTGTTTTTTTGTTTTTTAGAGGGGAAAGTGAAAATATAAATTGGCATCTGTTTGTAAAATATATTTGTATAATTTTAATGTAACAAGTATATATCCCTACAAGAAAACCTCTATACAACGCATGCGTATACTTTTATATATAACTTTTTGTGTTATATAATTATTGTGCTTTTTTAAATGTTATTCATCTTCCCAAAAACCAAGTAAGCCTTTTTTTTAAAATTGTGGTTACAACTCTCTCTTAGCTCTTTGCCTATGAAACGCTGAAACAAGTTGAGCACAGTATTACAAGCCTTCCCAAAAAACTGTGTCATATAAGAAATATTAAATTGAAAAGAGATTGTTAGCAGTTTTATTTTAAAAAAATTGTTAACAGTGTATTAAATATTTTTTTCCTAACGAATTAAAAGATCAAATTTAAAAAATTAGGTAGACTATCGATTCAAAAGCAAAATATCAATTAAAATTATAACTATTACCTCTATAAAAAGAAGGATACTTCATTGATTTATATTTTTTATTATTGTTATTTATTGCAATTATTTTAAAAAGTACATTTTATTAAAAGAAAATAATCATACTTCAATTTGAAAAAGCAAGGCACCAGATTGATCTCCAGGAATAGCTTTCATTGTATATGTTACAGGAGGTTCTTTTCTTAACTGGATCAGTTGTGTTAAATATGTAACCGGGTTAGTTTTTGTTGAAATTTTTTTTTCCTTTTTCTTTTTTTTAGGCTTTTCTAAAATAAATTTTGAAAAAGATTTAAATTTAACAATTACTAATTATCTTTATGTAAACTAAACAAGTAGGAAAACTTAAAAGCGTTACCATTTTTATACTAGTAATTTATTAAATTCTTTTTGGTAGAAGTATTTTTCAAAACCAAAATCTTTCAGCTTCATCTAATTTATTCACATTGAATTAGTCATCTTTAAACAGGTTTAACAAAATAGACTACTTAGCTTTCTTCTGTAAAGATTTGTTCTATGTAGCCATTTAACAGAACCTCCTTAAACATCTTTTCTCTCACCTCCTGCTAACTAAATGTAATACCTTTTTATTATCAGATTAAGCTATGTACTTAAGCTCATTAAGTTTAGTGTTTCCCAAAAAACAGTTGTTTTTAACTTTGTTTTTAATAACATTTATTTTATTTGGTTCTTAACTTTTTAAGTTATGATTGATTTAGTGTAAACGTTTCAAATATGTTTTTATGAATAACTACAGTTATGCATAAAAGTTTAATCATTTTTTATTATTATTAAAATTAAATCATTCTATTTTTGTTAAATTAAAAAAAAATTGGGAAAAAATATATAATACCTGTAGAAAGTCTAAAAAAAATTGACAAAATAAAATGCAAAGTTGAAGTTTACGTTTAATTTACATAGTTTTAGCTTGCTAGCAAATAACTTATTTCTGCATTGACTTCAATTTCAAATCTTAGCCATTCCTAATCATAACAGCTTCAAACAATAGTTGTCTAATATCACAAATGTGTGAAAGATGCAATATATTATGTTCCTACTACCCAGTCCTCAAGTTAGACCTGCCACCTGCTTAATCAGATACATCTATATTCCAGTTTTTTCCAAAGTTTTTCACAACCTTACCATATTTTCAACAACCATTAAATCATTTGGTTTAAATTTCTATTCTCTGCACTTTCTTAAAATTTTAAAACTTTGCACTTATTCTTACAAATTCTTTTCCTTACATTTTCATCAGTTGATTAAAAGCATAAAAATGTATAAATAAATTAGGCATGAATCATAAATTATCATCAAGATATTATATTCTGGAATGGGTTAATTTAATTTAATCAAAAATGTAATAATCAGAAAATCAAAAACTCAGAAAATAAAAATATCACTAGTGTATCATTTTCTTTTTGTCTATTGTAAAAAATACTTTTTAAATTTTGTTTTCTTTAACTTTAAAGTTTTTCCGACTTAAAACTAAACAAATTACCTTTTTTAGGGGGGATGGGTAAGTTCATCTCCTCTAAAATTTTCAACATTTTTTCAGCAGCAATATTCTTTGCATTCTTTTTGCCCATGGCTTCACCTGTAATAACGGTTTACTTTTATAAAACTATAATTATAACTCATATATATATATATATATATATATATATATATATATATATATATATATATATATATATATATATATATATATATATATATATATATATATATATATATATATATATATATATATATATATTATAGGACAATTCCATTTTTACCATTTAAAATTGGTATAGATGTGGAAAATTCTGTAAAAAAAACTAAGAAAGGTGTAATTATTTTTTAATTAAAACGGTTAATTGATTAGGGCAAGGTATTATAAATGTTTTTTTTTATTAAAAAAATATTACAAGTTCAACTAATGTTTATAGCACGCTGTACGGAACAGTAAAACAATAAACTTCTATACAAATGATGTAAACAAACCACCATAATGGTAGTAATTTTTAAAAGTTAAATTTTGTTACATAGTGCCAACAATTTTCGTTGCAGTCAATATTCATATATATATATATATATATATATATATATATATATATATATATATATATATATATATATATATATATATATATATATATATATATATATATATATATATATTCATATATATATATTATGTTTAGTAAATATCTTTATTTAAACATGTGTTTATGTTTAGTAATACATTTCTTGCTGTATTGTATTATAACCAGCAAAAGATTTATAAATTAAAAAAATAATATTATAAATATATTATATATTTTTTTATTATAGTTAATAATTTTATTTTTGATTATAATATTAAAAATAATAATCTACAATTTCTACAATTTGTATTTAGTGCATTGATCCAATTGTAACTAAATAAGAAATAAAAATTGTATTTTAAAATATGTAAATGAACCTTGTTTTCAAATAGATAATAAATAAAATGGGAAAAGTTGCTAAATCCCTTAAAAGTAGAACTTGCTGCACAAGTTCTCGGTTTGCAGGACTACCAAACGATCTTCCTGTTAGTGACTTACCTACATTTAAACAATTTATACAGTTCAACTACAAACTCAATAAACAACTCACTGCCAAAAAAATAACTAATCAACAAATTGTTTCTCAAATAAGCATTAAACTTGTTGAGCTATGGAGAAAAGTGAACTCTAAACTCCCCTTGACCCACGAAAAGACAGAAAAAACTTGAATTACTTTTTTAAAAAGTTTTGTGTGCTGAACATGAAAAATCAAAAGGCAACAAATCCAGCATTGTTTATTTGGAGAAAAATTTTAATTCATTGTTTGATTTGTCTGCTTGTAATTGTGTACTACCTGTTGCTTGTGATGACAGGTATAATAAGAACTTCTTCATCGAGTTTTCAACTTAAACAATGTTTTTATTAACTTATTTTAAATTTTTCTCATATTTATTCTAAAATGTAAATAATATTTAACAACTTAATTGAATCATTTCTGCAGACTGGTTAGATGTGACATTGAAGATTGTTTAAAAAAGCATATATTATACAATTGTGATGAAGAAAAAAAGGTATTTAGCAACTAAATTTTAAGACTATAAAAATCGATTTTTTTAGGACATTTATTACAGCAAAAAATATTTTATTAGGAGTGTTTACTATTTTTTTTAAATTAGGTACCAGTAAAAAAAAGGGAGTAACTAAAAGACCTAAGAGCTAAAAAGGGTGGAAAAGGGTTAGATTGGCAGAATTGATTTCAGATTGGTAAAATTGATCAAAAAGAACAACTCAAATTAAAGAATAAACAAGTAATTGGAACATTGTATAAACAATAGTCTTGTGTGGAAAGTCTTGAATAATCAAATTTAGTGGTAAATAGGCATATGTATACTTCTTATTAGTGATTTGTAAGTACAATTAAATATTTAGAAAGAAGTGTCTTAAACTGTTACTTAAATTGGTTTAACCAGTGCTATTGAGCTAGCGCAACTGATATCTGATATATATATATATATATATATATATATATATATATATATATATATATATATATATATATATATATATATATATATATATATATATATATATATACATATAACTGCAAGTATATTGTTTAATTCAAATATATTTAATTTTTATTTAGTGTGATGATCCTTGTTCTGATGATAATGATTGTGATTACCGTGAAAGTAACAATGACATAAACTTTTATGAAGAAATGTCTACTTTATATAATTACAAACACTTGCCTAACTTTGCAAAAAAAGCAATTAGTAACAATGCCACTGCTCATTTAGGTACAGGATTACTCATTGACTGTGGCATAGTAACAGCTGCTGAAAGAACTAATATCAGATATCTGATACAGCTGCTGAAAGAACTAATATCAGATATCAGGAGAATTTTCTCTATTGCATGATAATGGATGATGAGAAAGTAAATCGCGACAAAGCCATAGATCGAATACTCATTATTAGGAAGCTTAATGAGGAAAAGAAAAAAATTGTTGTAATAAGAACAGTTTATTTATTTGAACTTTATTTATGTAAATTTATAAAATTAAATTTATATTAGTTTTCCAAGGTTTAGGTATTAAAAATAAACTGATTAGTTTTTTTAAGGAAAATAAAAGGGTTAAAAAATAAAATTATTCTTAAGCCTTGCTTTCTTGTTTTGGAAGTGGTCTAAGCATTATTTAAGAAAGGTGACACGAATCTTAAATTAATTATCTTTTTATAAAAAAAGTTCCCTAAAATAAAAGATTTTATTGATATATTGATCATAGCAGTGGGTAGAATTCCCCACGCAACTTCACTAACTCCTAACTGGAAGAGGGGGCAGTCTGAACTTGCTGTTCTTTTATCAATTTTTTTTAATAATACCTATAAAAAGAAAGTTTCTTCAGATATTTATGAGTGGGGGTCCCCGGGGGCATGGAAAACCATCACGTGGCCTAAGAAAAACCTTGATTGGCGCCACTATTATTTTAAATTTTTTTATATCAGTGAAGGAAATTATTTTTTTACGTAATTTTTCTGTGGCACCCCTTGGACATCTCCTGCCACTGCACCCCTTTGACAAGCTGTCATGCCACTAGTCATGCCAATGATATTGATCATTATTATTTTTGTTCAACTTCTGTTTTGCTTTTATTATATTATTGCCTTAGATGAATAAAAGTGTTAATTTATGACTAGCATGTTCAGGGCCCCCCTATCACCCTAATATTACATGGGTAGTTAACCGTAAAATATTTACAATAATGTTCTTTGCTATCAGTGATAGCAAACAACATTATTATAAGCCTTAAACATTAGATTTGAACCAGTTTTTGTTACATGCTTTATTCAACAAAAGTTTATGTATTCGTACAAAAATACCCAATTTTATCCAATTTTAATTATTAAAGCCCCAATCAGTTTTATGTTTTTTTAATGTTTTTTTTTTTAATGTGCTTAGTTTTATATATTAAATCTTCCACGCCCATACAAATTTTTGTTTTCGAAAAATTTTGCTGAATAGAATTGCCTTAATATATATTAGAGTGTGACAAAACAATATTTTTTGAAAATGTCTGATGATACCCCCTAAATGTGTTTCCAATTTGTGTTTCCATAAATTGTTTTTATTATTTTTAAATTTATTAAAAAATTTAAAAACTTCACTTCTACTGAGACCCAACATGATATACTTTTGAAGAACTTTTTTTTTTCAAAATATTAGGAAACAATTTGATGTTTAAGGGTCTTGAGCGACCCCTAAAATTTTTTTTTTATTCAAATTTTTTTTAAATTTATTAATAATTTATTACATAGAACACATTTAGGGGATGGCAGCAGACAATTTCAAAAAAAGTTGTTTTTAGAGGCACTCTAATATATACATATATATATATATATATATATATATATATATATATATATATATATATATATATATATATATATATATATATATATATACATACAAATGAAAAGTTGTGTAATGTAGTGTAATGCATGGAGGAAGAAATGTGATGGTTTGGGGGTAGTATGAGTTGAAAAAGAAAAATGTAGGGGAAATCAATTAATGACTAAATAGATGCTTCAATTGAATGTAAATTCTGCAACTTGCAACAGTATACTTAAAAATTGAGAATGGGAAGGGATTTCATACTCCAGCAGGATAACAATCCTAAACATAACGCTAAAAAAACGAAGGTATACTTTGACTTAAATAACATCAATATTTTGGAATGGCTATCTCAAAGTGTGGACTCAATGACCATCTCTGGAAATCTCAAAGTGTGGACTGGAATGGCCATCTCAAAGTGTTAACTCAAATCAAATAGAAAATTTGTGGTATATTTTAGATAAAAAAATTGGCAACAGAGCATTTAGACGCAAAGACAATTTTAAAGAAGCTATAATGAGCAGATGGGATAATATAACAAAAGAAGAGACCCAAAATTTAGTAAACTCAATGCCAAATTGTCTAGTTGAGGCCATTAAGACTAAAGGAGGCCCACTCGATACTAATTATTATGGAATTTGATTAATTTGACATTATTTTTGAATTGTACAATTATTTTTTTTGCAGCCAATTTAATGCATCATTAGATCAATTGCGTAAAATTCAATAGGTTTGAAAAGCAATTAACTCACCAATACACAAATAAATTCTTAAAACAACACTTAATAAGATATCTAAAAAAATTTTTTTCAATGAATTTAATGGACAACTCATTTTTTTGATGCAATCTTTAAAATTATGATTTTTAGTGTACAATTATTTTTTTTGCATACTGCGTATGTGTGTATATATATATATATATAATATATATATATATATATATATATATATATATATATATATATATATATATATAACATAACTATTATTAAGGTTTAGATTTTTAGAGTTTCATAACAAAAGATTTGCAAAAGTATTAAACTCTTTCATTCTTTGTCAGTGATTTTTCAGAACATTTATGAAAGTTAGAAATTGAAAACAGTTTTTTCCGCTAATACTAAGAGCAACTTTAAAAAATCATTTTATTATGACAATTTTATTAATACTTATTTGTGTCATTTATATAAGAAAA